CCTCGGAGATCTCCTTTCGCTTTCAGAGGGTCAGAACCCAGTTGGCTCTTTGAGCCTTCTGCGTCGTGTTGACGAAGGGCAAAGAAGTGACCTTTTTGTGGAAGTTTTTGGAATCGTACTTAAGAATCGCCATACGCCAGCGTTAGCTATTTGAAAAGATTGAAAGCTACCATTGGACCCTTGGGAGGTGCTATGGCCGAATGTGAATCGCTTTTTCTTTTCAAAGTTGTTTACAATCGTTTTCAGGCATCATGATGCTCTGTCGAATGTTCGCCTCTCCTCATTGCTGCGTCATGCTCTTCTCTTCTCGCGCTTCTTCCTTTTCGAGAGGGAGCTCTCGATCTTATTCACGCGATTCTTCCCCCATCATTTGTCGCTGCGCTCAAATGGCTCATCTAGTGTTGTCTCGTGCAAAAATCCAATGCACTTCATGTTCCACTTCTAACAAACAACGTCTCGAGGGCACTCTCTTTTTGTGAAGTTTCCTCGCTGCTCTGAAGATTTTCTTCACTCAGCCGGAATATCCCTGGCTACAACAGTATTTAGGACATTCCATGGTTATTTGATGTGCAAAAAATTCCTTCGTTGCCTTAGGTCGTGAAGAATGTTCTTGTATTTCCGGTTTCAGTTCTTAAACGGGCATATCACAGAAAAGAAACTTCATTATTCGAAATAACAACCATTACTGTCAAAACACTTCTGCCCAACGGTAAACAAATTTGTTTATTCCACTTGCATGGAATTCCGGAGATGTAGAGACGATGAAGTCGATGAATGCTGCTCTAGCATCACGTTGGCTTGTGAAGCACCTCTCCCTGCAGCTGTCGAGATGTTTGAAAAAAGGTGATCAGTGGGGACTCGGTCCGATAAGTTCCATGGGTACGAGAAGGTTCTTTAGCCTAGCTGGTTCATTTTCTTTGGTCTGGGTTGTGCAACGTGGGCCCGAGCGTTGAAATTTAAACGGTTCTCCCTGTTGACAATTCCGAGTTTATGAGCGAACGTTTGCGTTGTATGGTGACGCTTTCGACCCAGAGGATCTTGGTAAGCATTCCAGAGGCCTGCCAGGAAGGTCAGACTCCGCCCGTGGAAGTCAAGTTCCGCCCTCTTAACTTCAGTTTATAGCCGTTGCATGTTGCTGCGGTTTGGTAGGTTTGTCGTTTATCGTGGACTGCAGCCTTCCGCTTAATTTCATAACATTTTCCTCGGTTCTCCGATGTTGGAAAAACTATCTGCAGTTCCCAGGACTCGTACGAGCACTGGCAAATTTGTACAAAACTTAACATTCACAGGGGCCTCAGTTAAGGCATTTTTGGTGGCTTGCTTCGCTTCTTTTTTTTCACTGGTAAGCAGTTTGCTTGTACTTTGGTTTCTGAACCCCACTAGCCGCCGCTCCAACTCGTGAACTATGTTTGATTTTCTTTGACTTGATTAGCATAGCTCCAAAGGAGAGAGCCTTCTTGGAGCTATGGTTTAGGGGTTCTGAGTCGCTCGTTCAAGGAGTTTTTCAATGTAAACCTGAGTAAGTCCTGACGGCTTTGAGATTTCCACTACTTCAGCGATGGTCTCTCTCAAAGATCGTACGGCTACGATAACGAGATGTTCCACGGATTAGATCAAATCCTTACAAAAACCACTAGAAAGGCTGGCGAAATGGCCACATCCTCGGCGCGACAAGCCCATTATGGTTCACAGACGAGATCGCGTTATCGAAATAGCTTTAATCTTTTTCAAGAACAATCAAGTATTCAGCGTTACACAGAACCAGTTCTATAGCAATAAAGAAGCACAGCCTATGATAAGCTGATCGGATTAGAATTCCGATCAGCGGCCACCGAAATTGCCTTTCAGAAATTCACCTCACTGGATTTTCTTGGATTATGTCCTCCAATGTTTCACTATTAATGTGTGAGTTACGATTTAATGGTACGGTACGGTCTCACCATCAGTGTTCACTACATAGTGCTCAGTGAAGAGGTTGAGAAAGAGTCAAAGCTTCTCACCAGTTTGTTTTTCGCAGGTTTATATCTACCTCATACGATCATCTCGGGTCTTATGCTGATTGCCTTCTTTCATTTTTTCGTCCTTTCTTCGTACCTTCTCATGGCGTCCATGAGTTTGGACTGTTCCAGCTTGTCTATCAGCTACAGTAGCTCAAACTCGCAGTTGATGAGTCATTTATTGTTGAAATGCTGCAAGCCCATTATCCTATTTAGAACCGTAGATCAGGAATCTCTGGGTATCATGGCTGTGTTCAGTTGGCCTATACAATGGTTTGCGAGAGGCTAGTATGTACAAGTATGTCTTTGTTCTCCCGGACAAGCCTGATGTCGGTTAACAAGCACCGGAGCGATGAAAAGCTTGGTTGGCTCGGGCGCGAGGCAATCCCACAGCTAGCAAATGTGCAGAATGCCCTCTCCGGGCCTATTAGCACCAAAGTTTATTAAGATCAGTTGCTGATGTAAGTATTGGCTGAGTCCACCTTTGAACACTCACATGATTCCAGATGGAGTTGGATGCGTGGCCCATCACTTGGAATGTCAATCAGCTACGAACAGTTTTCGATAAATCTATCAATAAGTGGGCGGAGTCGTCGGGGGCGGAGTCAAGTGTACTATTAATAAAAGTGTATTCAAGGGTCTATGTGTGTAATAGATGAAAAGTGTGAAAAACTAATATGAATGCAGTATATAGTGTGTGGTGTGTATGTGATTAGAGGGTAAATCAAAAAGGGCGTGGTCATCTGGGGAGAACGAGAGGGGTGGTTTACATGCAGTGGTCCCTTCGCACAAGATTGGGAAAAAAGGGGAAGAATTCGCGAAAGAATCTTAAAAAAATCCTAACTGTGGAAACTTTTTAGATTAGGTAGCAGCTTTAGTTGGTTGGCATTTGTCTAGAACTCGTCCGAGCACTGGTAAACTCGTACAAAGCTCAAAATTAACAGGACTCGGTCAGAGGTTTTGGCCGGCATGGTTTGCTTCTTTTTCATTGGTAACTCAGTTTGCTTGTACTCTTTCGTTTCTGAACCCCACTAGGCGCGGGACTTTAAACCTTTTATCGTCCTTATTCCATTTTTTATTGCCATCAGTTTTGATGACCTTCGTTTATGACCATTCTTTTCAACCAAATTTTTTACTGCATTACAGTATGTAGTGCCTAACTAAATAGTATCGCTAAAATTCTGGTTATTCCATGAGCAAATGGGGCTATTCGACGGATAAGGGCATGGTTTTATGGGTCCTAATGCATGCGCCGAGGAAAATGGCGAAAATCACCGTTGAACACGACAGCGTTCCGTGAGCAGGGCAGTTTATGTGGCGTATTGGTCGAATGCTCCCTTAGAAAGTGGAGCGTCGGCGAAATTGCCGGTTTTGATGTTCACTGCCTATTTTTCGCCCATTTTTCTGCCGTCTCCTCTTGGCTCTTCATATCTTCTTTTCCTGTGGCTGGTTGGGGTGATAGTTTTTGTTGAAATTGTGGGATTAGGTGCTGTTCGGCTCAGTGGGGGCACTTGAGGCCTCCTTGTGAAGACTTGTCCTCATGCGCACCATTTCGTGATTTCACAAGGGTTTATGGGTCTCACCAAAGTGAAGCCTGTTAGTTGAAATAAGCTAGTGAAAGGAACTAGCGAATATGCTAAATGCCCCTCCGAGCCGAACAGCATCCCTGATTCAGTTGCCATTAACCAGGAATGTACCAGATGAAGCGAAAATATATAGTTCTCTCATCCTCAGTTATAAAAGGTACTTTCTAGACTGGGAAGTTACTGAATAAAGTGAAAGTCAGGAAATCAGTGCGATTTTTTTTTCCACAATGAGTGTTGTGTGGGTATCCGTGGAAATAACGCCCCGACCAGACTACTGTAGTAACAGGGCAAGCTGAGGACTCGTTAACAGGAAGCTAGGGGGGGGGCGTATTCGAAGTGGGTACTTGACTTGCTGTCAGAAGTCTGCTCAGGGCTCGTTGTACGCTGGCGAGGGATGCGCTGCGAGAGCATTTGTATTTGGTCGCTGGAAGGCAAGTCGTAATAGTGGCGGAACTTTTAAGGGGGATCGCTTTTTGCCAACGTTTTCCCCGACGGCAGGAGATGCGCTGGTTCTGCTTCCCTCCACTCTTCTCCTTCAGTGAAACTGCTGTTTTTTCAGTGAGTTGGTAGACTTCCTCCGCCCCGCCTGCTTGACGGAAATGCTTCTTGTCTTTTTTGGGCTTTATTGCAGTCAGTGTGTCCTACTTTCACTGGAGACCCTGTCCTGGTTGTGGGCGGAGACAGTCCGCCATTGTGCCTGCTATTTCTGTTTCTACTTCCAAATTGTTAGTGAGTAGCTCCAATGAGAGAGGCACATTGGTTTTCTCACTCCGCCCATGCATTCAACGTGGACCGCGCTCTTGAAATTTCTCACGATTCGTCGCCTAACAACAGAGTTTTTTCAGAGACGATGCGACGATCACGCAGTGCTGGTGACAAGTTCGTGTTCGGCTCACGTCGTCGCACTCTGACGCCTTCAGGAGTTGGTGAAGACGAACAGAATTCCGGTATCAATGAATTTTTGCTTGTCTCCATATTTCATGGAACTCGAGGAGTGTATCGCTTTCCTTTTGATAAATGCTTGAACAGAAGGGCCATGTAATGGAATTTTTGTGGCAAGCACAGCCCATCTCGGCTACGCCTCGACCACTTCAGGGTTACTCCTCCGTTTTGTTCGCCAGTCCCTTGACCTTAATGTTCCCCATCTCTGAGCTGCTCGGAGTAATTGCGCATTCTTTTCTTCGACACCGCTTCCTTTTAGCGCATGTCCCGCCCTCCGCAGGAGGAGCTTGGGTAGATCATGAGTGTGTCTGTGTGGAGCTCTGTACATACTGTGCCATGGGCAATTATTACATCCTGACCCTGACCCGATCTATCCTAGTTACTCTCCTGGTGGAACCGAGTTTCCCGGACAAGCAAGCAAGCAAAAAAAAAACAGATATCCTAACTTTCCTGAAGCGAAATTTTTCAGAGCTGTTAATTGGCCTGAAATCTCCAAGGCCAAATAGAGCCCCGTCGTCACCGGCTAAAAATCCACAACTGAGCAAAGATCGGCAGTACTGGAGCAGCAATTACCATATCACCGACTGGCGTCGACAGCATCCAACCGAATTCGAGCAGAAGGAGGTTGAACGATTCCATAAGTGGATTTTTGAAAGGTAAACATTTGAGGGGGATATGCCGCGTATTTTTTAATCCTTAGGAGTTTTCCAGTGACAAGAATGCACCGATACACAAGGATGTGGTCAGCCTAATGAAGATGCTGTTCCAGAAATGACAGGATCAACATCACTTTGTAACAGATTTCGGCCATATTTGCATGCATGTACAGCATTTGTTGTTATCAGTGATATCGGAGTGATATGATCACGGTTCTGTAGAAATCAGAGTCAGACCACGAGACTTGAAAGGCACAGTTTTCACTGTTCGTATGAGCGAAGACAGTCAACCATCAGGTCTCCTCATTGCCGTGCCCGACCTCTTCATCACCATCATGGAAGGAAGGGCACACCAATGGGGAAGGCACCGTGGTTGGCGGTCTCCGCTCATACCGCCGGTGCGAACTATACCTCTAAAGGGAATTTTCTGAATTGTATCCACGTTTTGAATGGTTTTACGTAACTCTGTTGAATACACTGCACTTTGAGGACCAAAAGAAGGGTTTAGTTACTCTAGCTGGTAGAATGGCTATGACTGAGGGCTGAATATTCTAGATGCTCTATAAGTGTATCGGCTCGCACTGAAAGATAATGAGTAACCTTGGAAGCAATGTTTGAAGCCAAAATCGGTCGTAAACGCGACGCGACAGCTCGCCGCTCCCACCCATCAAAACTTCGGTGCGAGGCTTACCCAAGTGCAAATCCCTCTCCCCTAGAAAAAGAATATAGCTTTGGGTTCTACGGCTAAAAGTAGGGC